CCTCCTTCGGCCAAGTCCCCACCTCCTGCTCTTCCAGCTTCGCCTCCTCCGGCGTGCGAAAATCCAAAGTCACGCCGGAGACCTTAAAGATAAAGGAAGTCGCTTAGACAGCTTCTCAGGCTAAGGGGATACATGGCTGGGACTAAGGATGCTGTGCTTTGGGATCTGTGCTGGGGTCCCTACTTTCTGACACTCCCAAGCTGCAGACGCATGCTAGACCTTGAGCTGCTGGAGATTCCAGTTGCGAGATCACGAGACAGTGTGTGCTTGTGCTTACAGGGCCTCGGGGTTTCATCAGGGTTGTTTTGTTCAAGTCGGATCTTATCCGACTTGGCGATTGGGGTGTAGGGTTTAGGCTGTGTGGGTTGAGAGTTTGTCGACACTTTACTTCACCTCACTCATGTCATTAACATTCACTAAGCACCGGCAGCTAGGATTCGAGATTTTACGGCACCTTGTTTCCCTTCTGTTGTTCACAAACGGTTTAAGGTAGCCGCATCTTTCAAGCTCGTATGGCCGTCGCACTGACTTTGCCGGTTTCTTCAGACAACATCTGTGAATTAACGAAAGTTCGGGATTTGCATGTTTTAGGATTGTGTGGCTTGGCGTTCTTTCTCCTGTCTGTAGTGCTCCGGAAGCTGAAATCCTTATGCACTACCAGGACCCTTTCAAGGCACGTACTCACAACAGAGCCCTCCCGGTCCATAACGGTGGGTACTTCGGCTATCGGGGAGCTCCGCATCTGTGTAAACCCCAAGAGCCGGCGTCTTGCTCCAAACCCCTACATAACCGTCCAAACCACCAAACTTGCTGAGGGAATTGAGGCTGCTGCCAAACCCAACCAAGCTGTGGCTGCTGGGACGTAGAGAAATATCCTCGGTGTTAGAGGCCGGAACAGCACCTGAACGTGAGAATCCCCTTAACAAGGGAGGATCCTTACGTCGAGGTGCATTTTGGGGCCCGGATTGCCTGCTTCCCCCTGTACATCCCATACCCAAACAACGCAAGGATCTTTAAGTTGATAAAGCTGCAGAATTCGATACTTCAATAGCTTGGTCTTGGACAGCCCCTACTCAGGATTTGAAGCTGGAAGCTCTTCTCCTGCTCAAGCTATTCGAGCAAGATGCAGACGCAGCCCGAAGACGGCGCCTGGCATGCTGGGAAGGAGGGCGTAGATGCAAGTGCTCTTTGCATTAATCTCGTGGGGGTTCTGCGTTGAGGGCTACAATGCTTTAAAAAGCTTCAAGGTGGTTTTGTTCTATCTGCAGCTGAAACAAGCAGGCCAAACGAATGATGGCTTGAATGCCGTGGTTCCTGTGTCAGCGCGCCGCTTTGCATTGACAGGGTGATGCGCTGACTGTTTCATGTAATATCTTGTGATCCTATCCAAAACCCTCAAACCCCCAAACCTGCAAATCACTAACAAGTCGAGAAGACTAGCGAGTCCCAAACCCTCAGTTGCGGATCCACTGCCCACAAAACTAAAAAAACACACTCTTCTCTCATGCACCACACTTTGAAGGACCTGAAACCATCAAACAACCGTAAACTCCAAGTCCGAAAGCCTTAAAGCGTCGAATCACGAACCCAAAAGCTCCGGCAAACTGAGACCCTCCACCATAAACCATGGACCCTACAGTCTACAGCCCCAAACTTTCAAACCCGAAAACCTGGAACTCTCAAACCAGGCACTTCAACCCCCCACACCCCCTGAACAAAACTGAAAAAAAGTCTAAAGCCCAAAACCCTCCATAAACCCGAAACCCAAATCCTACCCCAGCCCAAACTCCTAAACCCCTCCCCCAAAAGGAGAGATCGACACCTCGCCGGAGCAACGACGCGTTTCCGGCCGACTCCCCCGCCGGACCTTCGCTCACCGGCCTGCGGAGCCGAGATGTCTGGGGGAGTCTTGAGAGTTTAGGGTAGGGTTTAGGGTTTAGGGTTTGGGGTTTGGGGCTAAGGGCTTAGGGTGTTTGGGATTAGGGGTTCTAGTCTTCAAAGTTTAGGGTGTTTTTTTTTTGAACGGCCCTTTTCCTCCTGATTGATAGGGTGGGGTTTAGGGTTTGGGGTTTGGGGCTATGGGTTTAGGGTTTGGGGCTAGGGGCTAAGGGCTTAGGGGCTAAGGGCTTAGGGTGTTTGGGATTAGGGGTTCTGATCTTCAAAGTTTAGGGTGGTTTTTTATTGAACGGCTCTTTTCCTCCTGATTGATAGGGTGGGGTTTAGGGTTTGGGGTTTGGGGCTATGGGTTTAGGGTTTGGGGCTAGGGGCTAAGGGTGTTTGGGATTAGAGGTTCTAGTCTTCAAAGTTTAGGGTGTTTCTTTTTGAACGGCCCTTTTCCTCCTGATTGATAGGGTCGGGTTTAGGGTTTGGGGTTTGGGGCTAAGGGTTTAGGGTGTTTGGGTTTAGGGGAGCAAACTTTGGGATTTCGGGCTTGCTCTAGTCTTGAGTTTCGGGTTGGGCTTTCGGATTCGGGGTTGGGGTTTCAGGTCTTTCTCAAATCAGGGTCTGGTTTTGGGGGCTTGGGGGTTTTAGTGAGGGTTGAATGCGTGTGCTTCACAGGGTTCTAGGGCTTCACTGGGAAAGGTTTCAAAGGGCTTGGGAGTTTAGGGTTTGATGAACAGTCCCTAAACTTAAGAACCCCTTTAATGGCGCACACGTTAAGGCAAATACAGCCGTCACTAAAAGAATGGAGTTCCTCTAAACTTGCCAGTATGGCCGTGACGCTAAAGCCTCAAGGCCTAAACCCTAAACCCGGAGGTTCTAAACATTGCTGCCCAAGTCGCGGAGCCGTTGTGTTCCATCGGCTTGCACCTGCGGGACACTTTCTGTCATAGCTTACAATCTGCATTCGCTTCCTTTGTGCTGTGAAACTTCGAGCTTTCGGGTGTCGGGTTGAGAGAACCATGCTAGGAACTGGGAAATAGCACGAAGTTGCAGGGAGAAAACGCCGTCAAAGTGAACTCAGGTTCTTTCAACACGGAAGCTTGAGTAGTTAACAGAAGTAGAATCACCGCAAAGTTCACTTTTCTAAGTCTTGGCCTGCCAATGTTATGAATGGCCTGTGCGAACAGGGGCCGACTCGAAGTAAGCTATGGCCAGGTAATACCAACGCGGCTAAATAGGCAAACTGCACCTGAGAGGCTACCCCCCAAGTTCCCCGAAACCTTAAATCCTATAGCTTTATAAAACCCCCTCGATTCCAAGACAGGAGCCTTAGACGCACATAATAGGAAGCTCGCAAGTTCTGGTGTTTGCAGTTCTGTGACAGAGACCACGGCCGATCGCAAGCGGCGGTAGTGGACGCCAAAGCTGCGCCCGGACGCAGAAGGAATTCAGTGGAGCCCTGTTCGGAGCTAGGCTTCTTGGGTTGAGAGGCTTTAAAGTGAAGAGGTTAAGGCTTGGGCTGAGGAGTTCATGGGTTCTTACTTGGGGGCATCCCCGAAACCCAAACCCCTAAACCCCGATACATCGACTGACATACAGGGTGTCGGGCTCTACCGTCTGTACCCGTCCTTCCGGACCGGGGTCGCGCGTCTAGGACTCTAGGGCTTAGGGGGGAGAGCACTTGGTTCTAGTCTAAGCATAGCCCCTGGAGAACAAGTCTTATCCATCTCTGATCGGCGCTGGCTCTTCGTAGTTGTGTTTTCATAAGCCCCAGAACGGTTGAACCATGTCCGCTTTTGCAGACGGACTCTTGAGCACGGCGCGGCTCCAACTCATCGTCTTCGTCTGTGGAGTACTTGGAGTACAAGCCGGACGTCCTGAGAGTTTGCCGGGCCGTGGCAAATACTTTCTGACCTGCGCTTGCTGAGGCAGCCGCGGCGTCCTTGGTTCCTCCGGCACCGGCAGCTGGACCAGTGTGATTGCGTCAACGCTGGACACGAGCTCTTTGCCGGTGAGGAGAGTGTTTCCGTTCAGGGCTTGGTAGTCGCCTTGGTCGTACCTTTGTGCTCTTTACTTTGCTGTGCATCTGGACCTCAGGTGCTTTTGGTCGCCGGGCAGAACTCGGCCCATCGGCGATACGCGATATTCTGCAGGATCACAAACAAGTTGCTGTTGCAACTCTCCTGTCGGAGCTGACGCAGGAAGACTGGCTTGTCCTGGTCTGAGCGTGATGCCTTCGCGGTGATGCAGCTGCCGTCCAGGAAATTGACCTGGAAAGAATGCCTTAGCCGGAGTCGCGTGGTGCATCATTGCTTTTCTCACTGCACTTCGAGTGTCGAGTTTGGGCGAATGCCTGGTCCTCGGGTGATGCTCGGCGGTGCTTGAGTTCGTTTGATGTGCAGTGAACTTGGGCGTGGCGGACGTTGTTCGTGTTTCAGGCTCACGCCGTGGTGCTTTGGACGCGGTCTTCACCGCTAGCTTCGGTGCCATGGCTTTACGTGGCTACGTTGTGAGACTTCGCACGGTTGTCTTGGTCTTGTATGACACCTGCTTGATGAATCCGAAATGCAGCTTCGCACGGGCACGTTCGAACTTGTTGGGACGCTGCAGTTCCTGTTCCTTGCCTGGCTTGGATTGCCTGCTACAGCTGGTTTTCACCGTTCCGTGGTTAGCCTTGCATCTCGGACGGACGGATGGTGGTGCTCGAAGCCCGTGTCGTCTACCATCAGCTACGCTTGGAAGTGGAGCAAAGACTGCCGGTTGAACGACATGTACGAGAAAGCGAGATGCGGGCATTGCGTTGCTTGTCTCTCTTTGTGTGTGTCTCTCTCTCTGTCTCTTTCTCTCGTTTCTCCCGTCTCTTTCCAGCTTATGTCGGTTCGCGGTGGATGTTGACCCGCGGCGGGGAACTTGCCGTTCAGGCTCCTTTCAGTTTCGCTCCTGACGCTCAGAGCTTAAGAGGCTTGAACTCAGACGAAGCAGCAGGTAGCTCTGACCACCTGACCTTTCAAAGGAAAGGTGCTGAGGTTGTTCCTCACCCAGGAGTCATTACATTAGTTACGATCGTCTTCCTACTCAATCCCTGGGACGTTTTGGCCAGCGCGCGCCGCTGCCATTCAGTCATCCTGCTCGCTTTCGAGCTCCGGATCCTCACGGCCGGAATCGTGAAATCCCGACCTGGGTTGGCAGCACGAGTGCATTAAGCCCTTGCTCCAACTGTGGTTCGAGTCTTAATTGAGATGCTGGCAGCAAGTCGTCGTCCGGATTGCCGTCCACGAGGACGATCACGGTGAGGTTCGGGTACTTCCTGGCGGGACGGGTTCGCGTTTCATCGCGAGCTTGAACCCCCTTAACATGCAGGGCGGCCGGCAGAGCTCCGAACCATCTAGCTTGTTGCCGGTGTCGCGGTCAACGGCATTGATGACCGCGTCCTCGTCAAGGCCTGATCGAGGTCTGTCCCCGGAGTCAATAGAGACATGAGACTCGGAGGCTACTGAGAGCGTTGCCGAGATGGTGAACCACTTTGGGCTTGACGATCTCCCAGATGGCCTTGTCGTACCCGGCCTTGCGAGAAGCGAGCTTTCAAGAGCTCGGTTCCAGCCACCAGTCACAGTGCTGGGCCTGCACATGTAAGGTCTCGCCGGAAAGCAGCGCCAAACTCATCTGCGTCCTCACAGAGTTTGGATTTCGTTGGGTGTGGTACTCATGAGTACAGTCGGCTTGCTTAGCTCAGCTTGCGGCTTCGGCCGGGCTTTCGCCTGCGTCTTGATGACTTTTGCTTTTGGCACCATTGCAAGTGCTTTGCAGCGGGTGGGGGGGGGGGGAACTTTGGAAGGCTTGCTTCCGTGTTGGCACCCTTTGAGCTTAGCACCCGCTTCGATGGTTTTTACTTTGCGATGCGCGCACGTTTTATGATGCTGCTCGGATCCAGAATGCTACAAGCATAGACTGAGTTCATCGAGCGCGGCCCTCGGCAGTGCCACACTTGCCCACCCCTTGCCCTCACTATTGCAAAACCAATCTTACCCCTTTACAGTGATGGCGGTGCTCGAAGCCCGTGTCGTCCACCATCACATGCTACGATGTGAAACCTTGGTAAAGACTAGGGGTTAAACAACAGACACGGGAAAGCAAGGCGTTGGTTGTGTCAACTCTTTGGGCCGTCCTTCCACTTCATCTTTTTCGCGTGACGTGCAGTTCATGGCTGCGTTGGGCCTCCGCTGGATTGCGCGGCTGGCAGCTTCTGCCATGCGCTCCCCGGGTTCTGGCGGACACTCGTGTTCCAGGGTCGGTGGTGGCACTTCTTGTTTTTTCGTGTCTTGGTTGGGGGGGTGTTTCCCCCAGACTGGCTGATTAACGATGTTCGACTTGGGCTCGATTGGTGTTTAGCTTGCCTTGCGAATGATTAACTTTTGTGGTTCGGAAACGAAGGATTCCCGACCAAACTTTTGACCAGCGGTCGAGAGCTCCAGTCGCTTCTGCTTGTGCTTGCACGGGACGCTGCCGCCCGACGGTGCCTAGGAGTTGTCTCGGTTCCTTCTTACCGCTGGCTGGCATGCTTCTTTTTTCTTCCGCGTGGATTTTCCCTGACGCTCAGAGCTTGAGGGGCTTGGCTCCAGACGCGCGAGTCGCTCTGACTCGACCTTTCCTTCGAAAGGCACTGAAGCTGTTCCCCACGAACACCAAAGGATGCATCTTCCTTCTTATTCAGCCTTAGTTCGTAAGACTTGGGCATCTGGTTCTGGTGTCTGGTCCGGTACGGCGCAGGGAGGCAATTTCGCGGCTTGGTGATTGGAATAAAGCTTTGGGACAAGGGCGTATCATACTACAGGGCGTATCATACTACAAGATTATGTAGGGGTCATAACTGAAAGGGGATATGATTACTAACGATTTCGACCATGACACTTGGATTCTGGGTTTTACTAGAGGGTCTAGGGTTGAGGTTCGGTTGAATCTAGGGTCTTGGGAAAGCTGAGAAGACATGTCCCTTTGAACTCTTTCCGAGAGGCGCATCATTTCGGATTGGCATTCGTGAGAGTGTAGCTGCAAACCCCCCGAATCTCCACCCAAAAAGCCTATGTCCACTTTGCTACGTTCCCAAACGACTACATAGACATAGGGACAAAACCTGGAGGGTTTCTTGACCTCAAGAAACAAAGAGCCTTCATGCAGCCATGGTCCTTGCTACCGGCTTTGGGCTGGGTATTGAGAGCTAGTTCTGGTCCTGTGTAAGAGAAGCCAAAAGATCACAACCATAAGTTTGACGCGAACCGCAGGTAAGCACGAGCCTCGGCAATGGCAGGCTACGAAGGATCTCGGCAAACTTTTGGAATCTTTGGTGTAAGCAGCTTTGCTTGGGATTTATGGTCTTCGGCTAACGATTTCAGGGCCAACTGCTTGCTTCGGACTGGAGCCTGTTTCAGGTTCATGTTTTCTTGGGTATCTGCTGGCTTAGACGGGTTTAGGGTCAGTGGGGCCTACCGGCAGCGAAGAGAATCTAATCGCCTCGGAGGCTTAGGATTGGGTTGTACCGATATAGATCAGTGCTTAGGGTTTCTAGTACAGTTGGAGAGTATCGGGAAGTAGAGAACAGGCTCAAAGATCTCGATACCTCGCTCACAAAAACTTGCTCCTGACTCAACATTAGGATCCCTTTTAACACCCATATCAAAGGAGGGGGTTGTATATAAAAAAGAACACAATGCTTCACGATCAGCATTATGTTCGTGTTCCTTGACTTTTTGCAATTACCCTTACTTGGTGTTGGTTGTATCAGTCATGTGAGGTCCTCTCCCCTCAACCCCACATCCCAGATAACACTGAGCTGATGTTGGAGGCCGTTTATAAATTCCTCTCCCCTCAACCTTACGTCCCAGATAAAACTGAGCTGATGTGGGTGGCCGTTCATAAATATCATGTGTTCCCCACTTCAGGTTATGATGGGAGCGGAGTAGAGAACTAGTTTCGATGATGCCCCAAGAAACCTCAGAAAGAGCCTACATTCCGGGATGCCGCGCTGGCAAAGGGAATGCCACCCTCCGAACAAGTGCCTCAGGGTTTCAGGTTTAGGGGTTCGGGTGTGCGTTGCAAGGGTAGCGGCAGAAATCATCGAGCCCCAGTGGGGTTTCGATGGCATAATCGGGTTTTCGAAAAGCTTACCAAGCTTCCTATGGTGGTGACTGGGTCTTTGGGGGTCGATGTGCGAGTGGGTACCTGAGGTACTTAGAATCAAAGTCGCAGCCGGAGCGATGTCTAGTTCGTCCGGAGTAGGATTCCATTCCGATGCTTGTCACAACAGTGTCACGACTAGTCGGTCGAACGACTCTTTGACGATCTGGGTGATCACAGTCATATACGTGGCTCCACGGTGATCATGACAATTGAAAAGCCCATGATGCTGAGGATGCTGTTGTTGATGATGGTGGTGATAATGATGCTGAGTGCAGAGGGCTGATGGCAGATGTTGCTGCTGCTGATGATGATGAGGATGATTGCGTGTTGAAGCACGGGCATGGGTCGTAATCATGGTCGCAATTAAGACAGCAGCCTGGCCAAGCTGTGTCGAGTTTGCTCGCCGTAAACACCATAGACTTGGGTCTTGAGCTCTAAATGCAACTGTTTTTTTCTGAAGGCTTTTGGGATTAGGGTGTGGGACTTAGGGCTTCGGATTTCGGATTCAGGGCTTGGGGTCTTGGACAAAGCGCTTTAAGATCATGATGCTTGCAAACAGAAGGAACAGTGGCTGTGGGGGGGGGGGGGGCATGCTGTGCATTAACACACAGCCTTAGCCTGTGTAGCCTCAATTGACGCCGGCTTTACTGGAAGCTTCCTTCCATTCTTTCAGAGTGGATTCAATACAAACAACAGTATATTGTCTGGCAAGGATTTTCATGACGGTATGCAAGCCATCAGACTATGCTCTACTATGGTTACATGGGAACTAAAAAAGGGAGATAGATGCTCATCTGAGTTTTTTGAACAGTGATGCCGAACCCCAAAGCCCGAATCCCCAGTCAGGCATCAGCGCCTTGCTGAGTGACATGGTGTGGGCGATGGCGCATCGCGCACAGAAGGAGATGAGGAAGGGCTTAAGGAATCTCGGGTTTAGGGCTCCATGAGTTCTATGGTCAAGAGGGTTTGGGCCTTCGAGGGTCGAGGCTTCCGGGTTCAATGAGGGCTTAGGAAGGGTCCAGGCACGGAGTGCCTTGGACAAGGGCTGCAGGGCTTGAAAATGAGGGCTGAGGACTTTGGCTTCATCTAAACATATCATGTCAGGGCTTTTCAGGGCTCGGTCTTGATGCACCCCTGGGGTTTGATGGGCGCGGCATCACTACGTTTCGAAGATAGGGGTCTAAAGAGGCTTCGGGGGTTCAGGGTACAGTCCGAGGAAGCTTGAAGCATGGCTTTCAGGGCTTTGCACCTAGGTCAGGGACTTGGTAGAGGCTCAGGTTCTTATTTCCAAGTTTCGAGCTCGAGCCAATGGGATGCGCCCGGAACAGGCTTCTCGCCCAAGGCCACCCTAACCCTAAACCCTAAACCCTAAACACCCCAAGAGAACGGTTGCCTTGGAGGCTCGAGCCATCGATGGCAGCAACCTGGACTCCCATGCCAAGTCACTTTTTTCCTGAAACGCTCTTTTGGCTCTACCCAGTTTTCATCTCTAAGCTTAAACTTCAATAAACTCCCCTGATAACAAACTGAAGGGACGGGTTAGAGGAAGCGGTTGCAGGCTAATCATCCACTTCTCTCTCTCTCTCTCTCTTGCTTGAAATCGCCTCGATTTGCACCCCCGAGCAATCACAGTCTGCTTGTGGCTATCTGTCCCTCATTCCTGAAGCCTCGAACGTCTAAACCTTTCATCGTGGACCCGAAATCCCCAAAAAGTCTCAAGCCCTGACTCGACTCTAATCACATCTCGGCAAGCTTTTCGCTTAATGCTGCTCGATGCCGTCACGCAAACCCGAAACTGCGACACATTTAGGGGCTGTGACTACGGTTCAGCGCGCACGGTATATTGTTCCAGGGTTTAGGGTGATTCTAACGCATCCAAAACTCAGAGCTTGTAGCGCCTTTTTATGGGTTTCCTCGCTGCGGGCACGAAAGCTTTCCGAGTCTCTCCCGGGCTTCTTTCAAGCGCCGAGCTGCCACCTCAGCGGTGATGAGGTAGACTGATGCTCCATACAGGCTCCTATAAGGGTTTGGAAAACGGGCCACTGCAGGGTTTTCGATGGGGTACTAAACAGGTTACAGCCTGCCAGCTCGTCTTTATTTGCATAGTGTTGTCTGTTCATCGCTCTACGGCCTAGAGTTGCGGGTTTGGGATTTCAGTTCCGAGCTCTTGGCACCGGGAGTTTGGCTCATGTCCTCTTGGAGCCTAAAAGCCTAAAAACCCTAAAACCTCACTCAAGCCCTAAAGCCTAAACCCTAAAGCCCTAAACCCAAAAACCTTAAACCCTGAAACCCCAGGTCCGAAAAGTCAGCCCGGCAGCCCAAGGGTGAAGAGCTTCACGTACAACACACCCTGGGTCAAAAGAAACTGCTGCGGTAAGAAGGGTCCCTCTGCTTCTTACATCGTCAGTCATGAGCCCCAAATTGTCAGATTCTCAGCGCGTCTTAGACAAGGAATTTTCCAACAACGCTCAAAGGACCGTCTTGGAGGTGCCGGCGCATTTCCAGGGAGGCCTCTGCCGCACGCCGGAATTGCTGTGCTTCAGCACCTTTCGAGCCAGCGGTTTAGGCTTCGGCCGTTTGAAAGGTTCTAAGGTTTAGGGTTCGGAGCTTTTCGGCTATACTACTCAGGATTCGGGCTGGCAGTGCAAACATACTAACAGCTTCTGGGCTCTAGGGTTTCGGCTGTGGCCCTTAACATTTTGCTTCACGGGGTTGCAATAAGGATTGACTTCCTTGAGACTTGTGCAAAACTTCGGTTCAAAGACGATTGGGGCCGGTCCGCATGGCTCTGGCAGGGTGTAAAGGCTCCAAACTTTCGGGGAGCTTCCGAAAATAGGGGACCCTAATAGAGTACCCAAAATAGAACGATCTTTATTATAAGGACCCCAGAATAGGGTACCCCTATTTTCGGAAACTCCCTTCTTTTTCTTCACACCTTATTCAGGGTACCCAACGGTCAGGATCCTACTGTCTTCTCCTTTGTGCTAGAGTTCCTTGTTTTCGCACTTGCCGTACTCAGCATATCCTCGAAGCTATACCCCTAAACCTAGGACCTAGACCCCTCAACCCTGGCGGGCGGGGTGCAAAAACAGCGCCATAGAGACTGGCTTTGCTGAAGCTACAACCAAGTTCCCCGGTAATTCTTACACTTAGGAGCTAGGCTTTAAATGTCAGAGTCGGGAGCTGTAGCAACAGTGGCAAACTCTGAACCTCAAACCCTGAGCCTCAAACCCTAAGCCATCCTAAGCCTAAAGCGTGGACCTCCAACGTAAACCCTAAAGCCCAATGTTCTAACCGGCAACCCTCAACAGGATTTTGGGTAGGGGTTACAATGTCTAGTCTAGCAGGTTCAGGGGTTGGGGTTTCGGGTTGTGGGGCTTCCCGGCGAATAAGACTGCAACGAGCAACCGGACATCTCCGTACGGTCTCTGAGGCCAAGGGGCTTTTGCTAGCGGCTCTGGCCTGACATGATACAGTAATGAATTTCTGGTCATCATTGCCACCATAATCATCATCGTCATCATCATCTATGCTCTTGATAGTCATCACCACAACAATGGGCAACATAAACAACCCTGCAAATCTTCAGTTCATCTTTGTCATGGTGATCGTCGTGGTGAAACCTGGGGTCCGTCAATAACGCTATTTACAGGTTGCAGGAGTTTCAAGATTCTAGAGGAACTTGCTACACCTCAACAGGAAGTGGCTTCATTTGCAGCGTGTGGGACGTCAGAAATCTGCTGTACTAGCAACAGTGCTGTTGCAAGTTGGGGGGTGCAGAAGTTAAAGATGGCGTGGCCTCTGTATCTCTGGCACAAAGTACTCCGTTCGTCATGGTGCTTACGGCCATGTCTTGTATCTTCAATAAGCTTCAGTCGTATGCTATCGTCCACGAGGCATGTATGGGGCATGGCTCCTGCCATAGCAGAAGGGACCAACCAAACATTGGCATCAGAAACCCTTGCATCCTCCGTCCCCTCTTGCGCGCCTGTGCCAGTCTCGCTTCAGCCTTCGCCCGCGCAGCGATGCTGGCGAAAATTTGACTCCGCAACTGTCGAGTATCATGATCCAGCTTTACCTGGTCCAGGAAACAAAGTCAGGGCTCAGAATCATGAAACTGACTCGAGTGAGGTGACACACTAGTTCAATGAGGCTGAGGATGCTGCTGAATCGATTTTGAGCCCGCGAATACAGCCCTCTTTTGCTCGGAGACCTACCCCACACCCCAAACCCTGCTACCTTGAACCTGACGAAACGACACGGCCCGATGCTGGGTTGTGCGACTTTCTTTGTAGGATGTCGAGGCCTCAAGCTGTAACCCCCAGCCTTGAATTAAACCCGAGATCTTGAAGCCAACGGTGCAAACTGCTGCTGAAGTTTTAGGAGTTTAGGAGTTGTGGTGGTCGGCCCAAGCTGCGCGGAGAATGGCTTCCTTCTCGCGACACCGTGTCCGCAAGTCCTCGGTGTTAACTGCCTATCACCAAAAACTTTTTGTTTCCAGAACATCTTGTATCTAAGTTGGGTTTTCTAGAACAAAAACCAATTATCTGGACATGTTAGATGTACATACGCAAATACGTAAATGAATACGTGTACATATACAGGAACATACATGTACATATACATATATATATATATATAGCACTCTCTCTCTCTCTCTATATATATATACACCTGCACCTGCACGTACACATACGGCCACATACAAAAACCAATATTTTCAAGACTTACAAACCGGGGATCCAATTTCGAGGGCTGGACCTTCCATGACATTGATTTGCCCTCGGAGAAAGTCGAGGCCCAGTTTCTGTTCGGGCTCAGGCGCAAGGCAAACAATGGGCCAGGAGCTGGGAGAGAGAGGAGTGGGTGTTTGAGCTCTACAGGTCGGGTTGACCATGTTGGTCCCACGTGACTACTTGTCTAGAGATGCCGTGAGCGTAGTTTCGCCACTTTGCTCTCGGAAGAAGATTGACGAGAAGGGTGCACTTGTCTGCAAACCTACAAAACCTTCGCCCTGACCCACACAGCCCCACACTCCAAACCCAAGCCAGATCATTAAACCCTGCACCATGCACTCCTGAATTGCCCGCACGAAGGAGAGTCTCCCTAAAACGACGACCCGCGAAGCACCGCCCGAGGGTCCCTTAAACTCATCGCCCAAGCTCCGATGCCATTTGCCGGAGGGCTTCAGGGCACCTCTGAGCCTCTCATGTGCTTGGGCTAGAAGCTTGCCCAAGTGTACTCTTTTTCAAACCCTTATAAGCTTGAAGAGTAAAGCCCCAAATGTGAAAGTTCATTTGAGGTTCTGAGGCGGCGTATGAAGTAACGTGACGTCTAAGTCCTGGGCCCGGCCTAAATGGCCTAAGTCCTTCCCCATGGGTCCCACTATACTACTAAATCCCGACCGCAAAGCGACAGGTGCCTCAGAACACAGCTAAGCCGCTAAGCAACAGTTTTTTTGCGCGTGTAAAGGGCCTTTGCAGCAGGGTTTTAGAAGTAGAAGCTTTGCGGTTTTCTAAAGAAGTTTGGTCGGGGTCCATATTACGGGATGTGAAGGGCTTGGCCGGGTGTTTATAGCTAGGGCCTTGCCGGGTTTTGGAAGGGTTGGCAGGGTGAGAAGGGTTTGGTTGGGTTTTTGGGGTGAGCTTTTTAGCGATCCCTTGATGCTGTCGCCTTGCGGCCCTAGGCCTGCATGCCTCAACCACCAGAACTCTGCATAGCGGCCCCCATAAGACACTTCAAACCCTCACCATTTTTAGGAACTCCTCCTTCAAAGTCTCTAAACTCTAAACCCTTCAGGACCCTTGAAACCTGTACCCGGCCTTTGAGAGACTCTCCTCAAGGTCCCTGAGGAATCTTGCTCTTCTCTTGTTTTTGCAGATTCTGCAATTGCTTCGAGATCTTATTTCAGTGTTCGTTAGATGCCTTGAACTTTAGATGCACTAAGTGCCAGGCCCCTAAATCCACCAAAGTCCTATGCCAGTTTCGGTGACGGCTTTTTTCGAACTCTCAGGAAGACTGTGGTCTCGACTCATGGTCATGCTTGTTTTCAGTATTTTGGCGTTCGGCTATTTTGTGGGATCGGGTGCAGGGTTGAACCTCCTGCGGCTCCCAGGCAACGGGGCTGCGATCTTCATCAGATAGAGTGTTACTAGAATAAGGATGCCGGCAAGCAATCCTGTCTACCTTAGCGATCAGACTTGGGCTTGGGGGGCTAGGTTCTACGTTTAGAACGGGGGGCCCTTGATTCAGAACCCTGAAAGCTCTGCGCCCATTGACCTACTGAAGTCCTCATCTTCCTGTGAAATTGCAAAAATTCGAAGCCTGCAAACACGCCGGATCTCTGCAAGTGCAGGAAGCTCCAAAACGCAGCACCCAAAATCCAGCACGAACAACCTTAACCAGCCTGCCCGGAACCTTAAGGCCCAAAACCCAAAAAGACAAAATCCTCAATCCACCCAGCGTCTCCAAATCTGCTGGCTTGGCCGGTGAGACCTCTTCAGAACAACAAGAAAACCCAAACACAAAAGACTACCCAAATATGGGGCCCACAATAGTCAAACAAGTTTGATTTGGGTGGTATCCGTAGTGTGACGCTATTCGCCATGGGGACCATAAAGCATAAGAGAGTCCTGTGGGTTCAATCTTCAGGCCAATATATGCAGCCCGAAACCGCCAACTCGTTTGACACTTGTCTTCAGAATGTGACGTGGTCCAGGCCGGAGGGCCTCGGGATTGTTGGGGGTTCAGTGTTCAGGGTTAAGGGTTGTGGCAGGACCTTGACAATAACGCTACTACTTAACAATGCTGCAAAAGATGGTGCCACCAGCGCTAATATGCGACATCGGAACTCGAATCTTTAGACATCTTGTGGAATCTTAGAAGAGTAGAAACTATGACAACAGTAATCGGCCGAACTGCGATTTTAGTTGTACGATGACGAGATGAAAATCCACGTTACGAAACATGGACCAAGGCTGTCTAGGGTTCAGGCTCTCAGTTGTAGGCTTTTCAAGCGGTCGAACAGCTCGGCATGCCGCAAGTAGCTCCAAGCGCGTGTCGAAGGGATTCGAAGGGACTCTGAAGCCAAGGAGACCCCAACTCGGACAGTCCCGGACAAGTCGAAAGGCCTAAAAGCCAAACTGCAAAGCCAAAACCACAGCTCCATCCAAGGGAGTTGCGACAGGGTCCGGGGTTTAGGGTTCAGGGCTATTGCAGCGAGGAAGAACAGCAGCTGCCCTTCTGTATCTTTCAACTTTGAAAGCTCCACCTCAATCTCCTGAACCGCAAGCTGAAGATTTGAGGTTTGAGGGCGCTACTAGGCCCTGGAGCCCCGAAGCTCTAAACCTTCACCTCCGGCCCCAGAGCCCCCGACATAAACGGTAAGGAGCCCGAAACCCTAACCCTAAGCCTACACGGCTGAAAACCCCCCAAAGCCAAAACCCCTATACCGGCTTAAATCACCAGAACCCTAAACACCTAAAGCCCCTAACCCCGAAAGACGAGAAGCCGGCGAGGAGGCAGCCGCCCTTGCAGTCGCAAGCAGCTCGGCGTAGCGCTCAGAGGCTGCCTTGTGCCTTAGCGTAGGGAGGGCTCATCGGGTTATATATGGGAGTTTCCGAAAATTAAGGTTCATAGGGTTACAGGGTTTAGGGTTCAGGGCTTCGGGATTTAGGGGCTTAGGGTTTATAGGGTTCAGGGAAAAGGGCGCAGGGTCTAGGGGGTTAGGATAATTTGCGTTTAAGACTTAGAGTTCAGAGTTTGGGGTCTCGGGCTCGGGGAGCTCAGCGTGCAGACTTTAGGGTTTTGGGTTGAGGGTCCATGGCACATGGACTTAAGGTTCAAAGCTGGCGGCTTCGCTGTGTCTGCGTAGTGGCAGGATTCATTGCATTTGGCTGGAATGCCGGCATGTTTTGTTCGGGTTCGTGTTTCGAGTGCCCTCGCGAGTCGACGGCCGAGTGGATGGGGTCTATATTGCAGCCCCATGTCTGTGCAGGCTGCCGAACAAGAGACACAAGAAGAATTCCAGGAAGCATCCTTGTGGCGTCTTAGTAGAGAAACCCCTGGGGGCAGTAGACGCCACGGCAGGAGTGGAGGTGGTCCTGGTCGTGGTCGTGGTATCGAGAGCTCTGCACAGCCTCAACGCCGAAGCCCTGAACATTAAACCTTACTCATGCCCCAAAGCAATAACGCCTACAACCCTTAGGCCGCCTAAGGCCCTAAACTCTCAACCCCAACTGCCAGAAATCCGTTGCCGGAAACATCACAAAGCGGTTCAGAGCTCCGAAGCCCTGAACCCCCTTGAAACCCCGCAAAACCCTAAAGACCTGCTTTAACCCAAACTAAGCCCCAGTTAAAGCCCAATACCAGGGAAGCCATTTAAGCCATTTACTCAGGTTTCTGCACTAAACTGAATGAAATTCTACAAGCAGTCTTAACCTCTATACCATCCTAACACCGTTACAAAGCCCTAGCCCTAACCGCCCCTTCCAGTAAAAGCGCCTTTGGAGTCTGAAGCTGCTCCCTACCAGGCGAATGCAGGCAAAGGACAAGTTGGATCGCAGGCGAAGTTCGGCCACCTCCAGGTGCTTTCCGGTCGCTTTGGGGCTACAGAGTATCCTTCACTGCAACCTGCAAGGTGTACTGAAGGGGTCTGGCGTTTGAGGAATGAGTTCGGGATCTTAAGAACTTAAGGCATAGCCGAAGTTGTTGTTTTGTTTGTTTCTTCGTTTAGGCTTTGTAGTTCAGGGCTTCGGGATTGAAGACTCCACGTTTCCAGTTGCGGGCTCGGTGTCGAGAGGTTTCGAAAAGTGTAGGGTGTTCTTGGCTTATGGTGTGGGAGCTCCCCTCCCTAGGGAGGGACTCACCCTGGGGTCTTTCCAGGGGTCGGACGGTTTAAGTTTTTTAGGGTTCTTTGAGGGGTTTTTGGGGTTTTTGGGGTTCGACCTCAGGGGTGCCCACTGTTGTAGCTGTTTCCGACAGCGATTCATTACACAAAAAAGGAGCCGGTGAAAAGGACACCGCTCACATGGCTTCCATGTGGAGAAACGTTAGAAGGTGGGGTCTCAGTGGTTTGAGGCGTGCGATGAAGCGCTTCGGCGCATCAAGTGTTGCATCCCATCCTCTGGTGAAAGGTCCCTGAAGGTACTTGTATCAGCATGTGCCGAGACATGGAGGTTTTAGGTCGAACGCAAACCCTGAACTTCTAAACCTTACCCCAATCCCTATCTTAAACCTCACCCTAAACCCTAAACCTCGCTCCACGCCCAAAACATTCAACTCCAAAATTTGTCGAAGCCCCCCATGTTCCCGGCCTGAGCCATAAAGATCTCCGGCTGCGCCTTCAGCGAGCCTCGCATTGTCTTTACGGTTAGCGTTGCAATGTCAACGTATTTGGGTTCTGGGGTTTATAGGGTCTGTTCTCTGTTCATTTGTCCTGTTGTAGGGTTGACGGCTTAAGTTCGGTTCTTGCTGGGGCGGGTGGGAGGTGGGCGGGTCGGTCGGCGGGTGGGTGGGGGTATAAGGATTATAGGTGTGTTTCGGGTTCAAGGGGTTGGGATCTTTTTTTAGCTTTGGGGTGCTCCGGCTTGTAGCAGGTGAAGCACAATTTTGATTACCAACTTCGCCATGGCAACACCCAACAGGAGCCCTGTATACAGTCACCCAAACCTCAATATGCACACCCTACTTCATGCTTGAGTCTTGTAAGGACAGTGAAAGTCCAGCTAGGTGGATTCCTTTGCAGTTCATTAAGGCTTGAGGGTTTGAGGCTTGACGTGGGTAAAACCCAAGCAGAGTCATTCATTGACTCCGCCAAATCTTCATGTCCTCAGACCCTGAACTCCCGAAGCCCAAAAATCGGGAATCCCAAATCCTGAGACCTCGAAGCCCCCATCCCTGAACCCTCAGCCCTGAAGATCAGTGCTGTTCAGCAGCCAAGGTTTCTAGCCACCTGCAATGGGCGAGCGGTGTCTCAAGGATCCGAACGTACCCTGTAAGAATAGAATCCGTGCATCCCTGAAATGCTGCGTATTTCGGCTAGAACATACTAAGTCACTAAGTAATAACGACTTGCCATTTTGGGGTTTAGCAAAAAGGGTTCACGGTTTACCCTTGCGCAATGGAAGCTTATGCTTTGGGGTATGACCCAAAAGAAGCACGGACCACATTTCCGCGATGCTAGGATTACTGGGACCCGGGTTGGATTCAGAGTTGACTCAGGCTGAAGCACAGGGCGTCTGTCTAAGCTTTCTGATTTGTGCTCATGCTTGCGGGGGGTCGTCTCTATCGCACAGGGTGCCACCCTAAAGACACGTCATATGATTGCCGTGCGTGCAAAGGCAACTTGCAGTACAGAGGTCCATGTGTGTGTGCACACTGACAGGACCCTAAGGGCACATGTACCTGTGTGTATATGTATATATATCTACGCACACACACACACACATATAGATACACACACACACACAATCGTTCGCCCTTGATTTACCATACATGGGAAGGATCCATAAGGCTCGGTCCTATCGGAAGCACAGCACGCCTCGCAGGAAATCTCCACGCTGAGCTGCTCCTGGAGGGATCTGTGGCTTAAAGTCGAGGTTAATAGGTTTTAGAGGCATGGCATAGCTTATTCAAGCAGCTTTTCGCCCTCTCTCCGTCGAGGTCCTACACTCCAGACAGTTACCAAGCTTAAATTCAGTAAGGACATAAGCAGGATAAAACAGCCATCCTCACAGTTGCAATCCTTGAGTACCCCTATATATCTATAAAACCTCCATCCCTCATGAAGCCTGAAAAAAGCTCCTAAAATCCATAAGTCCTAAACGCCCTTTTGGAGCGGCCTGCCAAAGATCCTCCGCCTCTGCATTGGCCTTCTCAATTCGCGTCCTCGGGCGTTTAGGACCCTTCGATGCTCGGGGCTTCTTCTAGTTAAGTGCGAGGCGAAACGTAGCTTGCTAAGACAGGAGTTTGCAAGGTTTCGGCGGCAGCACAAGGTTCCGTAAGGTTTTTTATGGTATCGGGGCCTTCATGACTCGCATGCAATGATACACGGGACTTTGAAGCATAGTGATAGTGTTGCAACAGTATCGCTAGTTCATCCGACCTCTATGTTGCAGCTTGGGGTTTGGGGCTCCCGGGTTGAGGTTGCAATCGGGAATGTTGTTCTTGTGGATCAACTTGGGTGGTTCTTATGAGGAGCCCAAAGCAATCCTGCTGCTTATTGCTCAGGCGCCTACAGAACCATTTAACCATGGACGTCTCGAGAATTGGGGAGGTACTTGTAGCGAAAGTGGTACAAGAGATAACTGAAGCCCTGAACCGAGACGGCAGGTAGGCGGAACTTGGCGTGCGGACTAAAGCTTTGGCATCCCTCGGTCTGGATGCCTTGATGCAAAAGCCGTTCATCCGAAACCGTGATGCCGTGACACCATTCGAGCCTAACTCCAGATCCTCCCAAGTTCCCATATTCATATATTGTCACTAGGATTAGTACCACGACCATTATTCTTGTTACTATCTTTTTGCATATCTGTTTGTCATTGTGAAACTGTAATTATGAAGTGCCATCTCCAGTGCAGAACGGGGTCAATCGCTCTTGTGCCGAATCGGGAGGCTGCTCTGGCACTTTCCGATCCTCGGGAACCGCGCGCTCCTCCTGAGCGCACAAAGGTCTTTAGAACAGAAAACAGCAATAATGATAATAGCAATAATCATAATAAGACTGATACTAAGAAGAATATCAATAGCACTGAGAAGTAAGGCTTTCGGGTCCAGCCCCGGAGTTGGGTTTACGTGGGAAGTCAGTCAGGTTCAGCACCCCAAACCTGAGGGCAGAACCCCAAATAGAGTCTTAAGGCGCGGCCTCGCAAAATAAGCTGTAGATCAGATCGTCATGTGCCTTAAGCCCCCAACCAGAAGCCTAATTCCATTGAAGCACCCAAACCTAAAACACAGATGACTGATGGCAAGCTAAAAAATCAAAAGTCCCCACACCCCGAAACTCGCCTTAAGGACTTCCGGCTGCAACTCAACCGGTGCCTCAGCCACTTTGACCTCGGGTGCATACGGCCCAGGGTTGCGGTGGTTGGTGGTGGTGGTGGTGGTGGCGGCGCGGTGGGGGTGGTTGTGGTGGTGGTCGTCGTAGTCGTAGTCGTAGTTGTTGTTGGAGTTTTCGGGCCTGGGGTTTCGGCCGGCTTTACTCGAGCTTGATGCGTTCGCCGTTGGTCCAAACCCACCAAACCAGAAGCAACCGTCACACCCCGCAGGGCTCGGCAGTCCGCGGATCCACCATACGCGGAGAACGGAAATGGGTTTACCGTTTTACCTTCGAACTGCGGCCCGAGAGCCCCAAACAGTCCTGCATTGTTCGAAGCTGCCCTGGCAGCTTAAAGCTCCGGCCCTAAGGCCAGAAGAGCCCTGAAGCAACTGGAGCCCCATGTAGACTTGACGTTGAAACCTACATCCTACAAAAGCCTAAACCCGAAAATGCCCTGCATCTTAAGCCCCGAAACCCGAAACCTAAACCCCCAAACCGGAACCTGAGGCCCCGAACTGCAAAAATCTTAATTCGATCCCTTGAACTCCACGTAAACCTCCAGCCCTGCACCCTCAGCCCTAATACTCAAAATCCCAAGCACCCTTGCCTCACAACCCCAGATGCTAACCTTATAAACTCCGAAACACGAAACCGCTTGCACTCTCGCATCTCTGCTTGCCAAGGCGCCTGGGCCCGCCGTGTTGGCGAGGCGTCAGGCGTGCGCGCCTGCTGGTGGACTTGACTTTCTGGAGTCAGGGAAAGTTTAACTGTGGCTCCGACTACCTACTATTTTAAGGTTTCCACGCTATGATCTACGGCCGCGGGGTCACAGCCCATTAGTTTCTAGGGTGTGGGGTCTCAGGCTTTTGAATTCCACGCCGAGTCTACCTGGTTGGTTTTTACGGACCCCAACTTCATTTTGGAGGGAGCTTGAACGTTCCCCAAGGGCAGAAGCCTTGCTGCGAGAGCGAAAAGAACGGCACCTCTACACGCATTGTTTGTTCACAATCTGTGGAAGGCTTGCCAAAGAACCTGAACTGGCTGAATTTGGAGGAAGAAAAACCGGGAGTCCCCCGAACTTGCATAGCCTTACGGCTTCCTGCCGAAGGTTGCAGCGCATCCTACACCAAAGAAGCCTTTTTCCGCCTCAGGGCTCAGGGTTTAGGAGTCATGACGGCATAGACTTCGAACCTGGGACCGCCGTGTTGGCGATGCATCAGGCGTGCAGGCCTGCGCCGATAACTTTCATTCAAAGGCACTTAAGGTTTTGGGTTTGGAGGTCTCGGGGGTCTACGATTTAGTGTTCGGCGGCTCGGGTCAATAAGTTCTATACCGTAGCTCTTCAAACCTCAACCCTAGCTCTGGGCGCCGAGAACTCCCAAAGATTTTTCAGCCCCACTGACACTGCCCTCAACACTAAAGAGCTGATTCTAATCCCTGAAGGCACCAAGCCCTTACAACCCTTCGATCCTAAACCCCGAAGGCCCGGAATCCCTTGCATGATAGAGTTGAGCTGCGAAGCTTTACGACGAACCCCCGGAAGCCGCGAGCCCTTGAAGCCTTGAGCTCCAAAGCCCTGAACTCGGTACCTGTGTCTGAACAGAAGGAAGGCGTGGCTGATGGACGACCATTTGTGCCGGGCTAGTGGAGCCTTGGGCAGACATGGTCGAAGGTAAATTGGGGAATTGCCGACGGTTCCGAGGCTTGGGCTTTCGAACTTAAGCTTCTTGTTGTGCAAAATTAGAGACTGCTGATCTTGGCGACCCGGTAGAAGGATAAGCTTAAGGCTCCAACCCTAAACATGCCAGGAACATAAAGGACCTGCCTCTCCAAGGTGCGCATATGACTGTTCATGACTCGGAACCTGAAGACCTCGCGATCATACACAACTCGATATAAAACTTACGAGACCACATGAAACTCCCAACAAGCCTATACGACAGTATGACGCGAACTCCAATAGCTGAATCGCGAAGTACAGCGTGGACAAGGCACGCGAGCGTATGACCTGCTCCAGGCGGTGAATCTCCTGACGAAAGCCCGAGAGGACTGGCTTTGAGGCATTGCTGAGCTTTCAGGGTGTTGCCCGAAACCCCAAGTTACAAAAAACAGTAGCTGGTTATGGCCCGGAAATCATGGCTGCGGCTCCTAGGGCATGGTTTGAAAGTCCAAGGGGTTGAGGCATCATGAGGGAACTGGAAATATGTAGAAGACAGGTATGTTTGACTACAGTGAAGCTAGGGGTTCGGATGACTAAGGCTTAAGGACTTAAGCCTTAAGCTGTTAGGATTTGGCTTGCCCGGATTTGCCAAGTCCGCTAGACGGATTGAGGCTTCAGGGGATTGTCTGGCGCTTCTGTCTTAACCCTAGCCTCCCCAAGCATACCAGGTTTGAAGGGCTTAGGAACCCAAACCGACATGCCGCCGTGCCAGCTTAAGCTGTTTGGATAGGATTCAAGACCCAGCTCCCACCAACAAAAACTTTTCTGGTTAGTGCCTCAAGCCAGCTTCGACATCCGCAATCTCTGATTTCATTTCTACAGGCACGATCCACAAACTGAAAACTGTAGTTCTCAAATACGCAAACCTAGTGAGCAATGAAAGCAAAACCCGTTAAACCCGGAAAGCCCGCTAAATCCCTGAAACCCCAACCGGCCCGGCCTGGGCCACTGACCCCCTTGCCGGGCTTCCATCGCGTGCTGCCCGTATGGGTTCTTCCACCGACGGCGCCGCTGTCGCCTTTGTCGGGCTGGGGTCAAGGTTTCGGGGAGGGGGGGGGTGGGGGTCGAACACTCGGCGGCTGTGTCGTTTTTGTCGGGTTGAGGGGGTGAGGGGTTGTTGGTTTCATGATTCGGGCGTTAGAACTTGCCAGAGGTGTCATTTTGGCTCGGCTTGCTTGCTGAAAGACCAGCATGTACTGACAAAGGCTCAGACGGGGCCAAAGCTGATGTTCAAACTTGGACTTGAACACTTGAACAAGCTTCGGGGATGCCTTTTCCCACGGGTTCCTACATTTCGTCGGTCGCGCCTCCCCGACCACAGCAGATCCTTTTTCGACCGGCATGGCTGAGTGCCTGGGTGCGGTTTCGAGGGCATGGAGGGTTTAATAGCAAAGGCGGAGGCTTAAGGGAGCTGGGAAGGTCAAAGGGCTTCAACAGAGCGTCACGAGGTACATTGTATTAGATTTAAGTAGCTCTGGGGGAGTGTGTAGGTTTAGGGGGTTTTAGGGTTTGACGGGGGATAGGAGACAGCTTGCGCAAGGTCCGAGTGTCACAAGGGCAGCTTAGAAGCTACAACCCCCCACTGCGAAGACCCTGAAACCTTGTAGCAGGAGCAAGCCTGGAACTCGAATCGTTGAACGAAAATCCGAAAACCTGAGTATGCAGTGAAAGGACATAGCACCAACTCCTATCTTTTACAGCCTCAACCTAGGGCCCAAGTCCCACCGACGCCCACCACACGAACAAGTACTATATTGAATAACAGTCGTAAAAAAGCGCGAACAAACAACCACGAATGATAATAGCCAGACTTGACAAACACAGAAACCCACAAACAAATACAAACAAAACAAATCACCAAGCGAAGAAAGCAACCTTTTGTTTGGGCCAGCCGCAAGGTTGGTTGGGTCTCCACCTCGGAGACCTGGATCTCCCGATGGGCAGAAGCATCCGGCAGCGCTTCTTCACGCGCCGGGGCTGGGTCCTCTGCTTCTGTGTGCTCTGGGGCATATGTACATACATATATATTTATAATATACACCATATGTATATATATATATATATGTATATACATATATAAATAGATATGTCTCTGAGGTGTTGGGGAGCTTGCCGGTTTGGAGATGTTCTGAGGCTTTGTTGTGTGCAGGGATCCCTGCCGTATGGATTGCACCCTCGCACCAACAGCTCCGCAAACAAACGGCTTCAGCTCCCCGAGGATGAAATTACGATGCTCTCGAAAAGCAGTTGCATGGTCTTTTCCCGCTGTCGTCCTGAGTAGTCAGTCCTGCGAATGCTCAACAACATAAGCTGCAAAGCCACAAACCAAGAAGAACAACTCCAACCGCTTCATGCATGAATATAGGCGTGTATATATATATATACATACATACATCTAATTGTAGAAAGAGGGAGGGAGAGAGACAGAGAGAGAGAGAGAGAGAGAGAGAGAGAGAGAGAGAGAGAGAGAGAGAGAGAGAGAGAGAGAGAGAGAGAGAGAGAGAGAGAGAGCGAGCGAGAGAGCGAGCGAGCGAGCGAGCGAGAGGGAGAGAGGGACCGGGGTCTTAGGGCTGTGATGCTGCCTGACATCGAACCCCCCCAAACCCTAGACATCCCCACGGCTTGAACGCTAACCCCTCACAGCTGAAACCCTCAGCCCGAGAATCCCAATGTCCTGGTCGAGGAAGCCAGAGCCTCGAGGAGCAAAAGGCACACTTTGGTACCTTGGTATCGGCTGCTAGAGGCATTGCAGGGCTGCATCAAGGATCCGAACAGCAAGGATACCTCTTTATGGTCTGTAGTCTATATTAGACTTCTGTTTACTGGAGCTCCTTTTGTGGCTGTCGGGGGTGAAGGAATGTGGAGGTTTCGACTCTGGGGTGTAGAGCCAAGCCTGCTCTTGTTGAGGGACTTAATCACCAGGATAGGGATCTATAACCGACAGTGTGGTTTCCATATTATGGTAACTTAAATTAAATCCCTTAAGGTTAACCCAGGCCATGGACATCCCTGAGCAACGGAACCGACGGATTACTGGTCTCGGGTTTAGGCTACGAGCCCATGTACTAGGGGCTTTGGGCTTCGGGCTTAGGGCCGGGCTTTGGGTTGGTCAAGGGTTTAGTTCATGAACTTATAGACTACTTGAGGGCTTTGGAGAAAAGAGCATACTATTGGGTCTAGAATTTAGATGTGTTTGAGATACTGGAGGTCTTTGGAAGTTTTGAGATCGCATACGAGTGAACCCTGTGCTGCGTCTTCATATAAGTCACAAATGCAAGCAAACCCCTATATTCTCACCTAAAACCTCTGAACCTCTAAAGCGACGAAACCAAGCTCAAGTCTCAAGTTCCAGTCTTGGCTGCTCTTCCTGCGGTGAGCTCGAGCTGCCGGGCCTCTCGCCGACGGCGATCGGAGCGGTTTCCTCCAGACGCTGCTCCTGGGACGCAGCTCAGAATGTTGGCTAGGATCACTCGAAGTGACGATTAAGGATTGCGGGAAATTTCGGGGCTATCACCATTAATATTGCAAGAAAGCTTCTGTACAAGACTGGCCTAGGTGTAGGGCTTTGATCTTCAATGCATCAAGGCTTTCATGCAATCTGCTTTCCGAACGTAGCAACGAGAAATTGTAATGCAACTAAAGAACAACGTGAACTCAGTGACTCTGCAGTTGTTTAGCGTTCAATGCGTCAGGTTGCATGAGGTCACCCTCAAACCAGTGACCTCCCAAAGTTCGAATTCAAAGCTCAACACCCGATAGGCCAAATCAAAACACAGACTAAGCTTTCGCCCAAACGACGGCCGCCCTCGGTTCGGGCGAGGATGTCTCCAGAAGCGCTTCCACGTCCAAGTTGGACCTCTGCAACTATATAGGCCTTAAGGCTTTGGCGGTCTTTCGAGGCTTGAGGATTCGCAATATAGCTGTTACAGTTATTATACAGAAACTGCAATACCTTTTCTTAATCAATGCAAGTAGGGTGTAGAGCCGTTCAGGTACCCCTTGGAGTGTGTCTTCTGGCGTGGTCGCATGTCTTTCGCACTTCCTTCCTGCTGCGAAAGTGTGCGTGCTGCCCCAGCCAGCCGTCAATACGCTTTCGGAGGGAGCATTTCGTTTGGAAGTTGGGTTGCAAAGGTCAGGGGTCTGGGATCGGAGAACAGAAAGTCTAAGCCGCTGTTTAAGATATAGTTGGGTGCCGCATCCTCGAATCGACACCACGAAGTTCTGACACCTCCACGAGCGATGCTCTCCTTATGTGACCTCAACAAGGATCCTTTTCAAACAACTTAGGCATATGTTCTTGGGTTTAGGGCGTTCCCAAACGAGTACGGCCCTATATGCCTATGCCGCAAAGCCCCCAGTACCCTCTAAACCCTACATTCATAGTACGACCTTCACCCCTTCTTCGACCCTTGAACCCCATATGCCTCAACCCGGCAGCCCGGTAAGCTAACCCCCACACCCCCAAACCCTAAAACCCCTTTCACCTGACCCCTCGATTCCTCTTGGCGCCGCACTCGCCATCGAGGCTGGAACTCGACGCCAAACTGCTCTCCTTTGGGGCACCGAGAGGAGGAGGTCACGGTTCAGGGCTTTTTTCTGTATTTCAGAAATTTGCCCCAAATGCCCTTTATGAGGGTTTTGCTTATGCCTTGCTGTTGTGGGCATCTCTGTTTTAGAATAGATTGTAATTGGCGCCCGTTCATGCAAAAGTGTCGTTCATCCCTGCTCGTACGGCCTGTTAGGTCTTGGTGTCGAAAAGTCGGCTTCGAGTTTGCAGCTTGCTATGTTAGGGCTACTGAGATGTTGAGGCCTTAGACGGTAAGACTCGTGGACTCATGCCAAAGTGTTAGTCACGCCACCTAAACTTATTAAATCAAGTGTGTATGAGGGCATCCAACCTGCGAACCCTCATTGCCCACATCTTAAACCTTCCAACCTGTTCCGAATTGACATGACGAAAAATGCCATGCATCAAGCTGAAAGTCTAATCTCTGAACCGGCGCCCAACCCATACCCTACCCTAAGCCTAAGGACATCACCCTAAGCCCCAACACAAAACCTACCCTGCCTGTAATGCCCCTGATAGTACTTACATACTCATGCAGAGGATAATCACAGTAAACGCCTGAGTATGAGGAGCGGCATTAGCATCAGCAATTTCACACCGTACCCTGACCCGAAGCCCAACACAGTAAACCACAAAATACAAACCCCACCCCACCTTTACTGACCTCCCGGTCCAAGGCGCCAATAATGCGAGATCGGGTTCCACGGCTGCCGGCACGGCAGCGGTCTGCTCCTGGAGGCCAAAAGTTCGTGCGGCTTCGAAGAATCGGGTGTCTAAGGGGGTATATTGTGGAGGGTTTGAGAGGCTTGTGATACATAGAATAAGGAAACCCGGCCTGAACTTGAAACACTCAATCCCCCATGAACCCTAAAAACCTGACCGCGGCAGATCTGGAGCTTTCGCCCGCCTGCGACTCTGCAAAGGTCGGCACACCTGGCCAGGTCCATGTGCAGCTGAGCGTTTCGAGACGAAAGCGAGGGCTTCGAGTTCAGGCTGCTGTTGTCTTGAGCGCTCGAAACCCGTGTCGATGAGTTGGGACCCCATAATGGATGAGTCTTTTCGGGACCAAGGCACCTTCGGCTGTAGGGAAAATTTTCTGTTCAGTGTTTGGGGCTTCGAAGCCCCCTCGCCTGTCTTGTTCTCGGGAGATGTAGGGCCAGAAGGCGGAAGCAAAGCTTCCACATCCTGGGCAGGTTCGGGGCTTCTCGGGCTCAGGGCAAGTAGTTTGGAAGGTTTGGTGAGCCTTAACGAGCCCAGAAAATAGAATTAATGGATGATTTCTGGTGGTGCCAGGGTGCTAGGTGACAGATTACAGGGCTTAGTGACACTACAACAAAGGAGACTTACTGTGCAGCGAAGGATCAACGGTTGTGTTGCGGAAAGGCCCAGGCAACGTTTCAACAAAAGCTTCCTGGAAATCTCAGATAAGCTCGGTCGCTCTACGTGCAGTCGTGGCTGGGATTTCAGCAGGCTTGTTGAACATCTGCAATCAAAACCATGAATCTGAACCCTCGCCAAATTTTCAAAAACAGTCCAAACAAGCAACCGGTCCTAAACTTCGGTTCCGCAAAATCCACAGTAATGAAATCCCTCGAACCGTAAACCCTCATCGCGCATTCCATAGACATCAATGCACACAAGTCTTGCAAGGAGTGGGCAGTATTCGTCTCTGCATCTCCCCATGCTTAGTGACTTAGCGACGTGAGCATTTAAGGCTTCAGGGCTTAATTGCATTTTGCATCGGCATGTTTGAAGGAATCAGAGCTTCTGCTGCGCGTCACTGTCAACATTCACTGAAGGCCACGAAGGCCACAAAGTGCCAACAACTCCGAGAGCCCCGGCTAAGGAGTCGCTGGTGCCGGAATCATCGGACAAGTCGGAGTCCAAGCCTGAGCCAGTAGGTTTTTGGGGCGTATGGCTTTTCTTGGGATAATGTTGAGATGGAGATTTGAGGGCTTTTGTGTTTTCAGGCGTTTAGGGTTTATGAGGTTTAGGTTCGACGGTTGTAGGGTTTCGAAGCTTTTGAGGTCTTTAAGGGCTTAGGGTGTTCAAGGCCTCAAGGCTTGGGAGGGTTTTGGGCTTCTACCTGCCTTGTGCAAGCATCAACGATGCGATGCTGCTTGAACAGCTCATGCTACGCTTAGAACCCTAAACCCTAAACCCTAACATAGAAGGTACTGAACAGCTCCCCTTGACCCCCCGAGGCCGCCGAGGCGCCCAGCTCGGCTAAGACATCATTGCCAGCCATGGCATGGGATGCACGCTGCTATCAACCTACCGGTTCCTGTCAGCGACACCTCACGCTTTTTGTGTGTCTTCCGGTTCATGTTTATGCTTCGTGTAATTACGGGTTTCGGGTTCAGGGCTCCGGGGCCCGGGCCATCATCCTGAAGTTTTGGGCCTGCTGGGCGGAATGCATTTGGGCTCGATGGGTTTCCTGCTCCGGCCAAATGGCTCCCTGCGTCTCGCGGCTGGCGTTGAGGATTTAGTCAATCTAGTCTTGGATTCCAACAGCCTCATGCTCCAACCCGCAGGCAAAACCCAATGCAGCGAATACTCTCGCAGTTCGCTGTGCATCTTGTGGCGTTCAGGGTGCGTGCTGCCGGGACTGGGTTGTAGCGGAACCCACGTAGCGACGTCTTGGGACCTTCTGCGATGTGTTTCGAGTAAGTAGGCTATCATGCATATGCTGATGAGCCCGCACAGGCAACGAAGCCCGCGCCAAGTCAGAGGCTGGTCCCTTGCTGTGTACGCCTCACACCATCTCGCACCGGGTGCTGGATATCAATGCGCTGTGACATCTGCCGAGCCACAACCCATGGAGAGGAGATGGCCTTGGCCTCAGCCTTCGTTTCGCTTCTTTCGGCGGCCCCCAGCCTCCTGACGGCAAACGCCCATCGCCCATGTCCAGCTCCTCCTCCGTCACCAAAGAAGCAGGGAGCTGTAGCACTGTAGCTGCACCTCGACATGCGACGCCTCAAACCCGACCGGATCTTCTCCATCGCCTCTTGGCTGCCATCCGAGTCCATGTCAAGCGGAGTCTTTCCGTTTACACGCCTAAGCACGGAGCCGAGACAGGTCCCCAAGACCTGCCCACCTCAGCAACTGTTGTCAAGCTTGCCCATAAAGGCTGCCTTGCATCGCGTAACGGGGTCCATCCATTCTCGTCCGGCGTCAAAGACCCGAAACTAGGGTCGCAAGGTCGTACGACCGAAAGCCGAATTAGGCTTGCAGGTTGAAGTAGACAACAGGCAGGCACACATCGTTTGGCTAACGGTAGGAATGCACTCTTGCAGCTTGAAGTCCTGAACGGCTTCTGTCTTGACCTGGCTGGCCGGATCTTGTTGATTTCAGACAAGGCTTGCGACACCCTAAACGGCAGGCCCTGAAACTTGAAGATACATACACTGAGCCCGAAACTGGCTAAGTACTCTGTATACACCTCTGCCTGTAGCGCCGAAACTCTTTGTAAACCCATAAACCTTTTGGAGGAAAGATGTACATATATACAGGGTTCATAATCAGGAACCTTAGCAAAAGAAGAGTCTAGGGTTCAGGTCGATCCAGAGCCGGACTGCAGGACCACCTGCGCTTTTTCCCTGCAGGCGAAATGCGGAGATTTCGGGGGCCCAGGGGGCCACAGGCGAGCACGGGTGGCTGGGCCAGCTGCCCCCAGAACCCTGGATCCAGGGAAAGCGGTGTAGGGCTATTCACTGCGCAGGGTTGAGGTTGAGGGTTTAGGAATCTGAATAGGGCTTTCTACGGTATTTCGAATGCCTTGATCTGTGTCACAGTGGAGTTTTTGCTGGGCTGAGGTTAGCGACTTAAGGTCTGGACATGAAGCCTATCAACGCATCTGACTGTCTACCTATCTGACCTATCTATCTTGTTAGCCGGTCTAAGTAACCTGTCTACCCATTCATCCATCGATCTATCGATCTAAAAGACTTGTCGCACGATCGATCTGTCCATGGATCGATCTACCTGTCTACGCTACCGATCGAACTATCTGTCTATCTACCTATCGATCGCTATCGAACTACTGATTTGTCGATCAATCCATGTACCAGTCGTTCTGCTTACTCACTTACGCACAAAAACTCCTGGTAGGTGTGTAGTACAGTGTATTACATGCTACCACAGACTTATACTTATACACAGATGCTTGGAGGTGTGTATCTTCGTACCTACGTATGCAAGAGGATGAGGGCTCGGGGATAAAACAAGTCCTCTTTGACGTGCGGGGGAGGTCGCATTTGCGACCCCGCTCCACTTGGGTCCCATGTGCTGGCGAGCTGAGCTGCATTTCTACTTGACGAAGCTACGGTCTGAAGATAGCGTGTTCGGGCTTGGAACGTAAACTCTTAGGGCTGACAGTTTAAATGTCGCATCGTGGCTGCCCGCCTGAAGTACATGTAGAACTTACGAGGCGATATTTGAGGCAGCAAGGTTAAAAGGCACAAACCCCAACCAACTGTTCAGCAAAGCTTCCAAACGAACCGCTGGATATCCTACAATCCGACACTAAACCCCAAAGCTCTAGAAGCCAGCTCGCCGGACATCGAGGGAAATATTGTACTTCATGAGGCACACTGCTGCTCGGAGCAATCTGTTCTGCTTAAGATATCAGGTTCAGGATTGGTTTAAGTCTCGTGGTGTCTTGCCACGAGTGAGTCAGGGTTTGCAGCTTGAGCTATGACTGCTTTACTCAAGGTTTCAGCTGCTCGGGCTGAGAATTCCCCAGCCGACTCTGCTGGATGCGCCAGGGCAATTTCTAGTTTGGCCGAAATCCCAACCCGAACCCCGTCGAAACTGGAGAGTGAACACCGTGCACGTTATAGTCAAGTTGGTTTCCTGACTTCCTCAGTCAAGATTAACAAGCCAGGAGGATGAACATTCACAGTAAAGCCATTGGCTGCAGGATCTTCGAAGGTACGGCACCGTTCGATCTAGATCGCTGGATGAGATGAGAAGGGCTTCTTACCGGAATGAAGAAGCACTGGGTAGTTAAAGAATGGGCGGAGAGGAACTCTAAACCCCAAACCAATCTTCCAAGCTTGCATTAGGTTTAGGTTCTCGCGAGATTCCTCCGAGCAAGCCCGCGCACATGGTGCAAAAAATCTCCGACCGGTCGTTGGCAAAAAGCGGGTTGAAAGCCTGGCGTGGTGATGATTCCGGTTTGTGGTTTGGGCAATTGAGCTATGAGGCTTGCCATGCGAAGGGAAGTCAGGAGAGCTCAACACTTTTTGGAGCCTCTGCGTTTAGGTTCTTATTTAACTTAGGGCATGGTAGGCCTGACCCTTAAACAGAGGCACGCTACTATGACGTGCATTGTAGGTCCACTCGAGCGTTTTGACCATCTATAAACCCTGAATCTTAAGGTCTAAACGGTTTCCGAGGCCTCCGTGTGAACGGTGATGGCTCGCTCAATAGCGGCCTTGCAGCAGTTTCGGATTTAGGGTTTGGACTTCGTGGGGGTTTTGGTGTTGTAGCATGTTTTAGAGATTGGGGCTTTAAAGTGCTTGCCGGGTCCAGGGACTGTAGGAACCTGAGTATGAAACCCCCCTAAACCCCAAACCCGGCAACTGATTCCAGTCGATGAAGACTTCAATGACGAAGCACATTGACATGCTGCTGGCCTACAAGACAAAGCAGAACTCCTTGAACATGAAGCACCAACAAATAATGTGGTACATCGGTAGAGGCAATGACTACTGAGCATACCTCGCGCAAACCGTTGCCGTGACACCGACATCCTGATCTACACCAATCCTCTCCTGCTTCTCCACCTCACTCTCAGTATCACCAGTCACCAACACAGCAGCACCATCACCAATCATGATTTTCTTGTTGCTTCTTAATCTTTATCGGTACGGGCATCACGCCACCACATCCTCATCATCGTCCTGACCCTCATTCCTCAAAACAAGACTTCTGAAACCAATACAACATCAGCAAGGAGTGTGATCAGGCAGCAGCCTCGGTATTGCGGAGAAGAAGACGGACAGGGAGCGGCACTGTACGAGGAGTATGCCTGCGGGCAAGAGGCGTGAGCGTTTCCTTTCTAGGGTCAAGCTCTCACTTTCGTGGGTTGAGTGGTCCTGAACACAGGACAGAAATAACATGTATGCCGAAGCCGCAGAACTCAACAGGTTTCGAGACTTTGTGTGGTGTGTGTGTGTGTGCCTGTTCTTATTTTGTTTTTGAACTTTTGGTGTTGTATTACTGTTTCATGGTCTGCGTCTACGGCCGGTCCGGCAGCCAGATCTATATTCGGGTGCCAGGGGTTCCTTCGGACACAACAGATAATTCGTAGGGTCAAGGTGGTGCATAGGGATGGGAGTGGCTAAAATTCGACCTCTGCCCAGCTCCCACACAACCAGTCAGTCCTGCGGCGTGGGCGCCCCGAAGCCGCCTTTGGTGCTTGTGGTTCATGGGGTTGAGGGTTTGGTCACGAGCAACCGGTATCTGGGGGTGAATCTCAACTCGAGGCTCCATCTACTGCACTTGTCTTCGATGCTGTGTGCCGGCCTGGAGTAGAGCAGCAGATTTACACGGAATCTAGAACTTCAAACAAGTGGCACGCCTATGAAGGGACTCCTTCTTGTCCCTCAGCCCTACAGACCAGAGCCAGGTTTTGTCTCTAAGCACGCGCCTCCCGGGTAGCCGGGCGGAGCGCCCCGCCCAGGTGCCGGAGGGGGCGGCGGCGGAGGCCTCGGAAGAGTTGTTAGGACTCTGATGCGTGGTTTTGCCGCGCTGTTTCGCAGCTTGGGGTCTTAAGCTTTATATAGGGCTTAAGGCGATAAGGATTTAGGGGTTTGCGTTGCGATTAAGGCAGGGATAATATGCAGCGCTTTGGATTTGGGGCATGTTGCGAGTCTTCAAGTTCTACAAGTTGAACTGAAGTTCTCCACCCTCCTGGAAGCTCTGAAGCCACTTGGCTTCCAGAAGTTCTAGACCCCGAACCCTATACTGGAAGCCTCTTAGTAGCCCTTGCAGTCGCCTTTTGCTAGCCCTTATGTACAGCTACTACTCTGGTATGATCACCCGAAAACCCCAATCCTATAACCTCCAATCTTGAATACACCTTCTGATTTACGAGACCCCAGTGTCCCTTCTCCGGTTATCCCAAAGAAAACATCTTCCGTGCTCAAAAAGTCTACATTACATAGAGCTCTTGAAGCTTAGGGGTGTCTGCTTGAAGGAATTGAGAAGTGATCACCGTCTTTTGCAAGGTGTCCAGACGAA